CCGGAATTGTCTGTTAACGGACCAAAGAGTCAAGCAGAGGCCGTGGGCCCGACCGGCGACCTGAGACGTCGGGCATGAGGCGGGACTTTGAGGGGAAAGAGGGAGAGAAGGGGGGTGCCGTAGGGACGGTTGGTACGGACCTCGCCACACTGGTGGAGAATGTGGGCATAAAGGGGGGTGCAGGGGTGAACCCTTTTAAAAAAAAAAAAAAAAAAGGTGTGTGTATATAGGGGAAGGTAGGATTTAGGGAGGCACCATAGTAACCTGAAAATGGAGATAGGTAAGCTGCTGGAATGGCTGGCGGAGAACAAGCAGCAACAGCAACAGCAGCAGACCCAACTGCTGCAACAGTTGACTGAGCAACAGCAGCTGGTTCGGGAATTAGTGGAGCACCAGCAAAAGCAGGGGGGCGGGGCAGCAGGGGGGCCTGGGAGAGGCGCCGGGGGCTCAGCCCTGGCCCTGCCACTGAGACTAGTAAAAATGACAGCGGGGGGATGACCCGGAGGCTTTCCTAGTTACTTTTGAGAGGGTTGCCACAGCCGCCCGGTGGCCCGAAGAACACTGAGCGACTCTGCTGGTGCCCTACCTGACGGGGCCAGCGCACTGGGCATACAGGGGTTTGTCCGCAAGGGCTGCGTTGCATTATAGGAAGGTCAAGGAAGCCATTTTAGACCAGGCCGGCATCACACCGGAGGCCCATAAACAACGGTTTAGAGCTGAGCGATACCAACCAGGAGAGTGGCCAAGGGCCGTGGTGCAACGGCTGAGGGAGGCCGCCACCCGATGGCTCGACCCGGAACGCAAGACCGCAGTGCAGGTGGTGGACATGATTGTTTTAGATCAATTCTTACAGATCCTGCCGCCGGACAGCTGGGTCTGGGTCTGGCGACATCAACCCACAACACTGGGGGAGGCCACCTCGATTCTTGAGAACTACATGGCCGCGGAAGGAGAAGAAAGCAGTCCAAAAGGAGCCAAGACACCGGGACCAGCCCCAGCTGCCACAGGTAGAGCGAGACCGGCACGGGGACGGGGAGCTTGGGCAGCACCCCCTATCCCCTGGGGGCAATGGGGAGAAGGGGCCGGGCAGGCACCACCACCAAGCCCTGAGGACACCACCGGCAGCCCACCAACGGGCCTGCTTTGAATGCGGCCAGGAAGGCCACTTTCGTAGGGACTGCCCATTCATGGACTGCTCCTATGGCCGCGCACGGGCCACCCCAAGGCCACCGCCGCACCAAGACCTATGCCGGATGACGGTCCAGGTAAGCGTGGATGGGCAGGAGGCCTGGGCATCAGTGGACAGCGGGTGCAACCAAACTCTGGTTAGACGGGGGCTGGTAGCACAAACGGAGGACCGGGGTCCACCGGTAGCAGTGCAGTGCATTCACGGGGAGATGAGGCACTACCCCACGCAAGTGGTGACCATCCGGGAAGGACCACGGCAGGCCCGGTGCCGGGTGGCTGTGGCCCTGAAATTGACATACCCCGTGATTCTCGGACGGGACAGGACGGGACGGGGTTCCGGGACTTGATGGCTCGGTGGCCAGGCCCGGAGTGCCAGCAGGAAACCCACTGAGGCTCAGGCCGCCGAGACTCAGCCCAACTCGGAGGACACAAGCGAGGTGGGGGCAGAACTGGACTTCCTACGCGAACAGCGGTAAGACCCCTCACTCAGGCACACGTGGGAACAGGCCAGCGAGGACTCTGATACCGGCCGGACAACTCCAGCGGGCCCGCGGTTCGAGGTAAGGGCCGACCATTTATATCGGGTCGCAACTCGACTGGGGGAGACATACCAACTATTGGTGCTGGGGCGATTCCGGTGGCGGGTGCTAGACCTGGCCCACGCCAGCCCGTGGGCTGGCCACTTGGGGGTGAAGACCCTGCAAAGGATTTTGCAGCGCTTTTATTGGCCCGGGATCTACAAAGAGGCCAAAGACTTCTGTGAGTCCTGCCCCGACTGCCAGAAGGTTGGGGGGGGGGGGCGAAAGAGGGCCTAAAGCACCCCTAGTCCCCTTCCCGGTAGTAGACATCTCCTTTGAACGGGTGACACTGGATCTGGTGGGACCCTTAGAAAGGTCAGCGAAGGGCAACCAGTACATCTTAGTCATCGTGGACTATGCCACACGGTACCCGGAGGCCGTGCCCCTACGTAGCACTAAGGCGCCCATCCTGGCAGCCGAGATGGTGAAGGTCTTCACGAGGGTGGGAATCCCCCGTGAGATTTTGACAGACCGAGGGACAAATGTATCCGGCCGGGTCATGACAGAGTTGTGCAAGCTGTTGGGGGTGAAAAAGCTATGAACTACGGTCTACCACCCCCAAACCGATGGGCTGGTGGAGCGTTTCAATCGTACCCTCAAATCGATGCTCCGAAAGTTTGTAGGGCTGGACCCCAGGGACTGGGACCTGTTCCTGCCGGCCCTCTTATTCGCAATACGGGAGGTCCCGCAAGCTTCTACCAGGTTTTCGCCCTTTGAGCTATTATATGGACGGCAACCCCGGGGCGTCCTCGATCTAGTGAAGGAAGACTGGGAAGAACAGGGCTCGCGGGTAAAAGGGACGGTCCCGTATATACTTAACCTGCAAAGAAGGCTTAAAGTGGCGGGAG